TATTATTTGCTCAGCATACAGATTGAATAAGTATGGTGAAAGAACACAACCTTGTCACACACATTTCCCAATTTTAATACATTCAGTGTTCCCATGCTCTGTTCGAACAACTGCTTATTGATCCAGGTACAGATTTCTCAGAATTACAAATAAGTGTTCTAGAATACTCATACTTCGCAATGTTGTCCATACCAATATATAAATGTCAGTTTGAGGTTCTGCAACATGAACAGCATTTATTTCTGTAAACAACAGGCTCAGCTCTCTGAGCTCTCAGAACTCTCTGAGCTACCAAAATCTCTTTTGGTAATTAGTCAAAAGTCACCCATTAGGGTGAATTGCAAATCCAGGTCTATAACAATTCCAGATTCAGTCACTTACTCCACAATCTGGCACTTGTGGAGCTCCTGAAAGGGTGAATCTCCAGGAAAAGAAAATAGAACACGCTACAGAATTTACAGAGAAACTAGGAAACTTTTAGACAAGCTACAAGAGTCAGAAAACAGTTTAGTGTCAAAATGATAGAATAAATGCAGTTTAAGAAAGTTGGCCTGGGAATGGGCTGTCCAAAGAAGACCAACCCTAGGTCAATGTAACTAGGGAGATAGACCATTGAAAAGACCAGGTTCAAGCTATCACAAAGAAAATTTCATTCCAACATTCAGAGGGTTGTCTTAAGACTCAGACAGAAATGGTGTTGTCTGTCATTTCAGTGGCTGCCACCCTACCCTTGGGCAGTTGTGATTTAAAATAAGTAAAGATTTATATAGATTAAGGTTCTTTTGTTGCAAACATCAAAACTGACTCTAGCTAATTTGAACAACAATACAAAAGAACAATATAAAAGGGCTTGGGTGTAGCTAACAAAAACTAAGGAAAACCTGAACTTTAGACATTTAGAGCAGCCGAGCAGCTCAGGGAATGTCCAATGGACAATCACTTCAGGTAATTGATCCAACTTTCCATCCTCAGATCAGCTTACTCAGAATTAAAATTTTTGAAATGAGAGACTTATTGACCTGGATGATTGTGTTCTTTTTGAGTGTGTGTACATGTGTGTATGTGTGTGTGTGTGAATGTGTGAATGTGTCCTTGTAACCAATAAGAGAAGACTTTAGTTGGAAATCTCACTAAGAATCCCATGCAACTTGGGAGAGGTGGTTGTTACCAGTAGAAGGAGGAAAATATTCAAAGCAGGGAAACATGATGGATGTCTTCTATAGAATCCTAGACTAAGAGTCCCATAACAAGACTTTGGGCAGATTTGAGACCTTTCGAAGAGCCATACCTGAGAAACTCCTAGGAGCCAGAGTCTATTCATCACTGAAAGAGAATGAGCAAGTAAGTACTCAGGAATGGGAGAGACACAGCATCAGTTGATATTCATTATAGAACCAGTAGACATCAAGTCTGGACAGTGTGACAAAAATCCAACCTCAGTGAAAAATACACAAACGAAAATAGACAAAATAGACGAGTGGGACATACTAAAAATTAAAAACTTGTGTGCATCAAAAGACTTCACCAAGAGAGTAAAAAAGGAACCCACAGAATGGGAAAAAATCTTCTGCAACTACATATCGGATAAGGGACTCATCTCTAAAATATATAGGAAATTACTACACATCTAAAAAAACAAGACAAATAACCCAATCAAAAAATGGGCACAGGATATGAACAGACACTTCACCAGGGAGGAGATC